CGATTTTTTTCTACCAACCCGCATATGTTTTAGTTAATTGCGATATTAATGGACAGACCTGACGGGCGTTTATCGAGAGCAGACGCATGCACCTCAACTTATCTCCTAAATATGTATGCAAATTTAGAACATGTCTGCGTGATTGCGAGGACATTGGATCTGTGCGTGTACACAAATGACGATTGTGACGTTTTGCCTGCAGTTCATGCTATAAATGAATCACACTGTAAGCATTTATAGTAGACGGATGAGGTAATAAAGAATAAAGCAATGTCCCTATAAATATGACCGTTTGATCGGATGATAAAAACCAACCACTTACACATATTTTTATCCGAACCCATGAAGGAGATGGGCGTGTGTCATAGGCATAGTCACTGAAGCGGATATGGAGGCCTTTCACAAACTGAAAATAAGCAAAGGAGGAGAATATCCGAGTTCCAGGAAGCAGTTCGGAAGAAGAAGAAACGATCACTGCAACAAGAGGTTTATTGTCCTTGTTTCAGTGATCGTTTCCTCTTCTTCTTCCGATAAGCAAAGGACTTGATCAAACAAGAGGCATAGCGCAGGCTCTTTAGTAAAACGCCGAAGAAAAAACGCTGTAGCAGAGAGGCTGCCGCTGACAAGCTGTAAGTCCACGAAGATGCGAACCTGCGCCTCGAGGACTAGGTACTCAGCAACTAGTCTAAAACGCAACATGTGATCTTACGTCAAGATTTAGGCCAGACTGCCACCTGAAGTCCTGTGTTTTAAATAATGCACGTTTCTGCGTGCGGCTATAGTGTGTAAACGAGTAGCTACGTTACTTTCGTAGCAGCGACAGCAGTTGGGCGCAGAAATTATCTAACGCAATAGGCTAAGGTTTACGTTATGTCCTTAAGGCTATATTTAAAAGAAAGTTAGATATAATTACGTCAATTTTCGAATAACAGAATGACGTCGGTGAAAAGGTAACCTCGCAGTTACACTCAAGTGGTTGATAGCAGAGGATAAGCAGAACGCTGAAATAAAAAAGGAAAGGAGTAGCCATCCCTCTGTCTATTGAAGTGTGGACACACCGAAGAGCAGCGTACTTTAGAAGTATTCCCAAAGGGAAAAATT